TGAAATAGTTCAGCTTCAAAGAGAGGATCCATCTTTAGCTCCCCTGTTTTTAAAGAGTGTCACAAATGCAACAGAGGTCACTGAGAGAGGCAGAGAGCTATTTTTCCTAAAGGGTGAGCTATTATATCGCCACAGTAGGGTTGGAGACCAGTTGGTTGTGCCTAAGAGTTTAAGATCCACAGTACTGCAGTTAGCTCACTCAGTCCCTTGGGCAGGACACCTAGGTCAAGCCAAAACCTTCTCTCATATGTCAACTAGATTTTACTGGCCACAGCAGTTTACAGACACTGTGCAGTTTTGCAAGTCTTGTCCCGAGTGTCAGTTAACAGCACCAGGAAGGAAAGGTGACAGGGCTCCCCTGATCCCTATGCCAGTCATAGACACCCCGTTCTCTCGTGTTGCGATGGACATCATAGGCCCATTAGAGAGGAGCAGTGCAGGGCACAGGTATATTTTGGTAGTGTGTGACTACGCTACGAGATATCCCGAGGCTTTCCCCTTAAAAAAGGTTAAAGCTCGTCAGATTGCCAACTGCTTAATACAAATGTTCTCGAGGGTAGGCATCCCAAAAGAAATCATTACTGATCAAGGGTCCAACTTTACATCTAACTTCATGAGAGAAGTCTATAGATTGCTGGGGATCAAAGGTATTAAGACAATTCCCTACCACCCACAAACAGATGGCCTTGTTGAACGTTTCAACAAAACCCTTAAAGCTATGTTGAGGAAGTTTGTGAAAGATACAGGAGCGGATTGGGACCAGTGGCTTCCTTTCTTGCTTTTTGCCTACAGAGAGGTACCTCAAGCTTCCACAGGGTTTTCTCATTTCCAGCTCTTGTATGGCCATGCTGTCCGGGGTCCCCTTGATGTGTTGAAAGAGGCTTGGGAGGCTTCAAATCCCAGAAAACAATGCAATGTTCTTTCATATGTACTGAAAATGAGAGATAAGCTTGAGGAGCTCCAAGAGCTGGCCAATACTCATCTGGTTGGTGTCCAACAATGTCAGAAGCAGAGTTATGACAAAGCAGCTCGTAGGAGGATTTTTCAAGAGGGACAAAAGGTTTTGCTGCTTCTTCCATCGTCTGAGAACAGTCTCCTTGCCAAGTGGCAGGGACCGTATGTGATCAGTAGGAAAGTGGGTCCAGTTACCTATGAACTGTACATGCCTGAGCGTCGCAAGAAGCATCAGATATTTCATGTAAATTTGTTGAAAGAATGGTGTGATCGGCCAGCATCTTCACTAGAGTGTTGGGCTCGTGCCGTGGTCGAAGAGGAGGAACCACGGGAGCTGTTCTTTCCTTCTCCAGCAGGTCAACAACTAGTTCCTGATGTGAGTCATCTTACTTCCAAACAACAGACAGAGGTGAAAGCAATTATGCCTGCTGATCTTTTTAGCAGCAAACCAGGTTGCGCCAATCTCATCCAACATGAGATACGACTCCAGTGTCCCAATCAAAAACCTATTAGGGACATGACCTCACGGGTTCCTGCAAAGCTGATGCCAGCGTTAAAACAAGAGGTGGAAGACATGCTTGACATGGGGGTCATTGAGCCATCTAGAGGTGAGTGGTGTAGTCCAGTGGTGCTAGTGCCGAGGAAAAATGACCCTAAACAGAGATTTTGTGTGGATTTCTCTAAACTCAATGCTGTTTCTGCTTTTGATGCTTATCCGATGCCAAGATTAGAGGAACTGATTGAGCGCTTGGGGAACGCTAAGTATCTTACGACACTAGACCTTTGCAAGGGCTACTGGCAAGTACCTTTGACTGAGTCTTCGAAAGATTTGACAACTTTTAGAGTTCCCAGTGGACTTTATCGCTTCAGAAGAATGCCTTTTGGTCTGCACGGTGCACCAGCCACATTTAAGAGGTTGGTGGACGAGGTTTTGAGAGGTGCAGATGGGTATGCTGCAGCATACATTGATGACATGGTGGTGTTTAGCGAGACCTGGGAGGATCATGTTCAGTGCCTTTCTGATGTCTTTCAACGGATTAAGAGAGCCGGGCTTGTCATAAATGCACACAAATGTCACATTGCTAAGTCTGAGGTGGAGTACTTGGGTTACGTCATCGGGGGTGGGGTCATCCGCCCTCAGGTGTCAAAGATTGAAGCCCTGGGTGCCTACCCACCTCCTACGACCAAACGGAAAGTGAAATCGTTTTTGGGTCTGGCGGGGTGGTATCGCCGCTTCATTCCCAACTTCTCTGCTAGAGCAGCGGTCCTTAGTGACCTTACTCGCAAATCCAGCCCCACAAAGGTTAAATGGACTGCCGAGTGTGATGCAGCTTTTGTTGATCTTAAAAACTGTTTGTGTAGTGACCCTGTTTTGCAGTGCCTGGATTTTACCCAGCCTTTCACTTTGCAGACGGACGCTTCCGGAGAAGGACTTGGAGCAGTGTTGCTGCAGGGTGAGGGTGAGGATAAACGACCAGTGGTGTATATAAGCCGTAAGCTCTTTCCTAGGTAAATGAAATATTCCACTATTGAGAAAGAGGCACTGGCAATAAAATGGGCTCTGTTGTATGACAATACGACACAGGTCAATGACTACATTTTTGTTTTACATTTTCATTGTAAGTAGGCTAAAGCAGTTAATTAAAAGTAGTCGAACATAAATGTAAATGCTGTAATTTGATTATCTTAATATACCATGTAACTTGGATGGATTCGATGCTGGCGTGACCACAGTGCACACGTCTGATGTCGCTCACAGTGGTCCAAGGGATCGCTCAGGGAGTTTGTGTGTTCGCTCAGACACATGGAAAATTAGAGGGAACATTGATGTCTGGCTTCTGTTTTCCAGGTCGTCCACCTTTTGTAGGAGTTCCTGAAGTTTCTTATGAAGGGAAGCCTCTTTTCTTGTAAGGGAGGAGACGTTGTCTTCAACTTTACTAATACGGGTTTCAGCTGAGGTAAGCCTCTCTGACAAGACCCCATTTGCGTCCTTTATTTCTTAGTTTGATGTTATAACTTCATGCAGTTGAGTAGTGAAGTGTGTTTTCAGCAACTGAGTTGTGGCCAGAACACTAGTTTCTTTCATCTTCTCGGTTTCATATTCGTTGCTACCATCATCATCTGATCCTTCCTTTCCAACTGTTTTAGGCTTATGTCTATGTCTTATATGGTTAAGTGGCATGTTGACTGGCTGGGTCGGAGCAGAAGCTTGTGTTGGGACAAGTGCCAATAGAAAGATGGCTTTAGCTGCGGCAGAAAATCGATGAGAGGATGTAAAGCTCGGAGCCCGAAGTTTTGCTGCCGTTCAGATGCTTGGGATCATTTAGAGGAGTTTCTTTTAGGGTTTTGAAAACACAAGCAGGTGTGACATATACAAGAGTGCTGGGGTTGGGGACTCCAGGAAATCCAAGGGGGGAAAACAGGGTAGGTCACTTTTGCTCCTCTTCAGCCACACACTGCGATCTGCAAGCCGCACTCCAACTCACTTTCAATTGCTTGGGTTTGTAAGTGACAGGTCCAGGAGGCCTGTTTTCAAAGACAATACAAGTTAGTTCATATGCAAGATACAAACAAGAACGAAGAGTAGTTTAGAGCCGGGGCTACACTGACACTAATCATACAACAACCCAGCGATGATTAGCACCGCTTCATTGTCTTAATTAGCAACAGGAACACAGAGATAATGAGGCACAGGTGGGAAGATGAACCGCAGGTGTGTGGGCCAAAGCAGGAACCCATAATTAGTTCTACCCAGGCAGGAGAGAGAGTAAGAGAGAGTATCAACAACAGCAAAACTCCACCACTCTGTGTTCCTCCGCCACTGCCTCGTTTGAGTTTTGGACAAAATGGATCAGAACAGCCAATCAGATTTTTTTTGCATCCAAGTCTGTGATTGGCTGGTTTTGTGGCACAAATATAATGGTGTACAGAAAGAGCTGAACGCGCACGGGCAGAAATGTTGAGAGCGCAAGCAACACATTGCGAGCGAGCGCAAATGCAAAAACTGAGCGAGAGGGGCTGCTATTGTGTGTGTGTGTATGGATAATAGCAAACACTAAAATACATTTTTTGCATGCAGCAATGAATTTTGTTCACTAAAATTCAGCTTCTCTTTGCTCAAAATAAATTTCTCCTCAAAATGCAACACTTGCACCTGCAAAGATTTTTTTACATACGTTAAAAAATGTTTTACGTGCACTTGGAATAGTGGCACAAAAATAACGGCATACAGTGCTACAGACGCACAGACACAGTGTGCAGGTAACAAGAGTTAAAATAAATAAATAAATAAATAAATTATGCACATTTTCTGAAAACACAACATCTCTGTGGCTTTCAAATCACAATGCAGGCTTCAGCAATAATTGGTCCACCGTAACGATTGTGTTCTTGGATACAAACAGAGTAATATAGTGTATCTCTAAGTGCATCTTAGAAGAACTCAGGTTACGTATTCTCCCCTTCGGTTTACATGCCAGATTTTTCAGCTTCTTCTCACAGTCCAGAGACATGCAGTTAGTGGGTTTATGTTAAATGGTGATTCTAAATTGCCCATAGTTTTGAGTGTGAGCAGTTGTCTGTCTTTCTGTGTTAGCCCTGCGTAAAACTGGTGACCTGTCCAGGGTGTATTCCGGTTCTCACCAAATGGTAACCGGGATAGCCTTGTAAATTGGATATAATTTCTTCATTGTTACCTTCGTCAATACCATGTGCCAATGCAGTCTAATTTGTAATTCTTGAATAACAAACAGATAACAGTAACCGTAAACTGTAGAAGAAATGGCATTTCATTAATTTAGAAGATCTTTATTTTAAAGCACTTTGTAAATCTAGGACATCACTGATTGAAGAAAATAAGAACAACTCTGGTTCTCCTTTGGCACTGTAACCAAGGCGCCAAAGAGTCAGACACCTGTTGCGCCAAGCATTCCTTTCAACTTAACTAGTCATGACTTCATGATTTTCTTCACAAATAGAATTTCAACTATTAGAGCAATTTTTTGAGTTATTCAAACTCATTCAATAATCTTATAAACATATCATTACATACATCAATTTCCAACACTATGGGTATTTATTTAGACTACTTCTCCGTAGTTGATTTTTCTTAGTAATCAGTTTCCTTAAATGATCCATCTTAAATGCAATTAATCTATCTCTATTATTGGGCTATATACCACAAGCCATCAAGTAATTAAACCATTACTTATAAAGACATCACTTCAGCCAGCTATCTTAGCTAATTATAGGGCAGTCACCAGCCTTCTTTTAATCTAAAACATTTTTGAAAGGGCAGTTGTAAATCAGTTAACTGATCATCTGCAGAGGAGTTTCAGCCATATTTCAGAACTCATCACAACACAGAAACACCTTTAGTGAAGGTTACAAATAATCTTCTTATGGTCTCTGACAGTGGGCTCATCTCTGTGCTTGTCCTCCCTGTGAGTAATCTTGGTATTATTTTTGACCACAATATGTCCATATTAAACAAATATGTAGGGTTTTATTCTTGAATTTGCATAGTATCTCTAAAATTAGAAACATCTTGTCTCTGAGTAATGCTAACAAAAAAAATAGTTCAGGTATTTATTGTTTCTAAACTTGACTACTGTAGTTGAGTATTATTATCAGGTACATAATAGAGTGAAAATATTTGCCCCACTTTGACTTCTCTTCATTGGCTCCCTGTTAAATCCAGAATTGAATTTAAAATACTTGCCCTCACATACAAGGTCGTGAATAGTCAGGCCCCATCTTATCTTAAAGACATCATAGATCAATATCACCCCAATAGTGCACGTCACTCTCATTCTGCAAGCTTACTTGTAGTTCATAGGTTTTTTTAAAGCCTTCTGCTTTCAGGTGCCTCTTCTGTGGAAGCAGTGCCCTGTTACTTACTTTCAAGATTAGACTTAAGGCTTTCCTTTTTGAGAAAAAAATATTTATGGCTGGTAACCCTGAAACCTCGCTTAGTTATGATGCAATAGCTTTTGTCTGCTTGGGACTTCTTCTGCTTCTTTTTCAGTGACCTTTTTTGACTCATTCTCTGTTTATACACCACTCTGGATTTAATCATTAGTTAGTCCAGTGTGAGCAGAAAATCTGACTCCTGGTGAAGGCAACAGAACCACATGATCTGCAAAAAGCATAGATAAGATTCTGAAATCACCAAAATGGAAGCCTCTGCCACCTGGCTACACCTAGAAGTTCTTCCATCCATCCATTCTCTTCTGCTTATCCAATTCAGGGTCATGGGGCAGGGGGTGGATCGCAGGGTCAGAGTCAGGGTACTCCCTGGACAGGTCACCAGTCTGTTACAGGGCTAACACAGAGAGACACGGACAACCATTTGCTCTCACATTCACTCCTATGGGCAATTTAGAATCACCAGTTAAGCTAACCTCACTAACTGCATGTCTTCGGACTGTGGGATAAAGCCACACCTTGACAGCAAGATCAGGAAGAAGGAACACACAAAGCTGGAGAAGTACCAAAGGCTCAGAGATGAGATGTGGAGGGTGAAAGTAACAGTGGTCCCAGTGGTAATCAGAGCGTTCAGTGCAGTGACCCCCAAGCTAGGCAAGTGGCTCCAGCAGATCCGAGGAACAACATCCGAGATCTCTGTTCTGAACAGCATAGTCCCCAGAACAAGAAAGATACGGGACCCTCAAGCTTTGAGGCCTCTGGTAGAGGACCTGAGCTTGAAGGTCTAAAAATGAGTGTGGATGTAGAAAGCTATAAAACACTGTGTGGCAGAGGTGTGGTCTTTCGCTTTGCTGAAGGGAAGGGTGGTGCAGCAGGCTCGAGTCGCAGTGGCAGGGAGGCTGATGCGGCAGCTGCAGTTCATTTGTAGTAATAATTCTTTCCCTTTTCAGTGACACAGGGAGCTGATGATGGCAGAGAGGAGTCAGCTGGAAAGCTGAACAGAATGATGCAATCCCAATAAAAGAAACCCATAACAAGAACACTGTGTCATCTGAGTTGCATGTACAGTGGGGCAAAAAAGTATTTAGTCAGCCACCGATTGTGCAAGTTCCCCCACTTAAAATGATGACAGAGGTCAGTAATTTGCACCAGAGGTACAC